TACCAACGAGTAGCGTGTTGCTGCTTCTCTGTTTTAAACGTTCTCTGCCCCAACGATTGGTGGCCACTTAAAAATGTGCACATTTATATATACCTTCGCTTGCACGCATATTCAACAAAAGCTGTTTAGTTAAATCTGTGATCATAAGCAATAACCGCCTAAGTCGACTTAAGAAAGAATTGAGTTATATATGCTATCGTATTCTGCAACTACTATTTATTCCATGTGTATGTGAAATCCCCATCTCGTCAGCTGGGCTATAGACGAACATATTTTAGTTTACCCAAATGTTTAAAACGTTTTTTCTTGAATTCCAGTTTTTCGACTTAAGCGGTTATTGCTTATGACCACAGAAATGTGTAAGTTAATGTGTGTTTTAGCTGTTGTCTGACCTTAGCTTTAATTTAACGACTTTGATTTTGTTCACTAAGTTTTTGAACTTTTCCTGTTATTGTGATTTTTATTATCTTAAAGTTCTTTAGTTTGGGTTGCAATAAAAAGGAGGTTGTTTTGACTGTAACTACGTATGTACATACATATATATATGGGAAGATATGTGAAACAAAATTTATGTATTTAATCGTAGTGATACGATAGGTTATTACCTTCATTATGAGATTGTCTATCTTATCCTTATAAACAACAAGGGTAAGAAATTTTTTTTCATATTTTTACTACCGGCTCAAGCGCAATATAATGACCTGTGCATTTCCCTACTTAAACCCGTTTATTTATCTAAAATCATACGAAAAAGATTCTTCTTCCATGGAAGTCATGGACTTTTTCTTGAAGAAACATCTTCTTAGATTCCTTTCACGTAAAAATTTACATCTTGCACTTCGGGCAGAGTTAGCTCAATTTAATAAAGTTCTATTCGGCTACTGGTTTTCACTGCTCCGAGAAATTATTGAGAAAGCTTGTGAGGTCCTTTGTCGTAGTCCCAATCAGGCAGGTATCCAAATAAGGGTAATCTTGATGGCAAAATCTGGATCTGGTAAGAGTTTCACAGTGATTTATGCCATG